CGGTTTTCAGACCCAAAATATATCTCATGTAATAATTCAAAGACTTTGAGACTCAACACCACATATACAGCACACATAAGGCCTGTATTTCAACGGCAACTCTATATCCTCTCTCTCTCTCTCTCTCTCTCTCTCTCTCTAGTGATTGAATGAAAAATAGTTGTTTTTTGTTAATTTTACATTTGTATCAAAATTGTATTTCTATTTTAATATTGTTTTACACCGAAAAACAACAAATAGTAGTAAAATAAAAATGAGTAGAAAAATACATTACTTTTCGTCAATCAGTTCTACCATTACTTCCTTTATTGATATCAAATGTTATTTTTGTTTTTGCTTTTTATTCACAATCGGTTTCTATTCACTCGCAAAATGATTGATCGAAATATTAAATAATTATATGTTTTTATCGCAAGAATATCGACGACATGAGAGGTGTTATGCATTTGTATTTATTTCCACTGTTTTCACTCATTATTACATAGATTTGTAGTTTTATTATTATTTTTTTGTTTCATTTATTGTTTTGTTTGCCTCTCCTTTCGGTGTTTATGTAATCTCTATGTGTATTGTGAATGACATTCAATTGTTTCGCTATTATTTCAATCATGTTTTTCTCTAACCTTTTGTTTTGCATCTGATTTTTTCCATTCATTTATTAGTGTTTTTTGTTATTTAACGACATTTATATTAAATGACAAATTGTTTTCAATTATAGGCTTATATTTCGTTATGAAATACTGTTTTTAATGTTAAACATTTTTTTGTAAAAATTATTTATTAATTTTTCTCGCGTTTATAATATATGTGTGAGAAAAATGATATTTTGTTATTTCATTAATGAATTTTCATGTTTTGTTTTATTAAATGCAAAACGAAATGTATTTGTATTTATGGGTCAAAAATAAGAAAAATGTTTTAACTTTAAATCCATTACAAATATAATAGCGATTTCTCATTGATTTCTTGTTGATCTATATTTTCTGTTGCATTATTTCCACACAATTTCTTGTAGTTTTGTTGCCTTTGAATACCTTTACAATAGTGTTATTATTTTATTATTACTACTAAAGTGTTGTAATTATAATTAATTTAAAAGATATAAATCAGTAATAAATCATTATTAAAAGCTATTTATTTTATACTAAAAATCCATTATAATTCTAACCGTATGTTACAAATGGCAGTGCCTTTCGGTGAAAAAGATTAGTGAGAAAAATATTATAAGCAATTAATTGATTTCTAATCTCTATTGACATATTTTTGCACATAATTTATTTGTTTTCACAAATGCTATACAAATTGTATGTCTAATTGAATTACCAATTGATTAGCTATTTGTTAATTTTGGCTATAAATTAATGGTATAAATGTTTTTTCGACATTCAGTTTGAGTTCATTTTTCTAAGTTTAGAAATCATATGATTTAATGAGTTTCGTAAACAATATTTTATGCATTTCTTATCGAAAATAAATTTTAGATTATTGTATAATAATATGGTTTTTTCGGTGTTATTCCCCGTCTCTAACGTATAGTCTGTTAAAAATGAAAAACATTTTACAACTCATTCCTCTCATGAGATCGCGATTTCTGTAAATGACTTTTGTATCGAGAAATTACCATATTTTTCAAATCACTTGTTTTTGTTATTGTTTTTTTCGGCCATAATATTTGTTTTCTAGTATTATTTTTAATTACATTTACATCTAATTATACGTAAAGTAATATTATTTAAATGAATTACAAACTAACGCTCTGTTATACATGTATACGTTTAGGTACACCACAGCCGGACTCACTATCATTAGCGCTGATAACAATCGTCCCATTGATTACATTAATGGCATTACTGGTGGCCGGATATTCGTTCAGAAGTTTACGCAAAAAGTCTCGTATCAATGAAGTGCCAACCAGTGAGGACCCACTCATCGACCTGTCGCCGCCCTCGCCATACGTTGGCCTCAGACCCATACAACTCATGGAAGTCAAAGCTCAGGGAAAATTTGGCTCTGTTTGGAGGGTATGCGAGACACCCCTTCTTTCTCTCTCTCTCTCTCTCTCTCTCTCTCCCGACACATACACTATTGAAACAAATGTTTGAATAAAAAACAAAATATTAACAGAAAAAAACTGCT